GCACTGGGGCATGAAGAAAGGCAAGAATAAACAAGATGACCACAGTTTGTTCCCTCTGATGTCCTGCCACCGAGTCCTTATCTCAAACCTACCAGGAGCCAAAAGGGGAGCGAGACTCCCTGGTGTACAGTTCCACTTCTTGACATACACAACAGGGTATGAAAAGGTCGGAAAGGGTAAGTAGAAATATATCATATGTGTATGTTCAACCAAACTGCACCCAAACCAGAGGACTGCATCTCTCAGTCCAATCAAGAGAGAACAAACTACTACTCTGTATAAAGCTAAACCCAACTAGTTTATCACTACACAAGGAACAATAGCTTCTGGGGAGTCACCCCTTTGGAAATTCTGTAATAATCCAAAACTCTATGTACCATGATGTAACTGGGTTGTGTATACTTATCATACCAACCAGACACACTTCTTTTTATTAACCAATCGTGTGTGTGTGTATGTGTGTGTGCTTGTGTGAGTGCAGGTGTGTGCATGCATGGCACAGCAGGTGTGTGGAGGTCGGAGGACAAGCTTAGGTACTGGTCTTTGTTGGAGGCAGGGACTCTTCCTTGTTCACCACTTTGTAAGCAAGGCTGGCTGAGAAGCAAGCTTCTGAGGGTTCTCCTTTCTCCGTCTACTATTTCCCCTAAAAGTGCAAGGGTTGCAGATAGGTGGACTACTCTGTCAGGCTTTATGTGGGTTCTGGGGATCCAAACTCAGTCCCTCATGCTCATACAGCAAGTGCTTCCCCCACTAAGCCATCTCCCCAGTCCTTAGAGACACTCGATGGCAGGAACTTTCTAGTAGTCCTTGGCTTCATATTGTTTTCCCTTCCATTTTCTCATTGAGAAGACCACATATTTTCAATGCATTACGTTTTTCCATTTTATTGTATGTGTATGAGTATTTTGCCTGCATGTATATGCGCCATGTGCATGCAATTCTCTCAAAGGCTAGAAAAAGGCATCAGATGCCTTTGGGCTGGAGTTATTAGCTGTTTGTGAGCTGCCATGTGAGTGCTGGGATATGAACCCAAGTCCTCTGGAAGAGAATTATTATACTTAATAACTGTGCAATAAATATCTGAAGAATGGTGATGCAGAAAGATTCCCAGCACCCACATGGTGTCTAGAAACCATCTATTAACTACAATTCTAGGGGGTCCTGTGCTCTCTTCTGACCTCTGTGAGTACCAGGCATACAAGTGGTGCACAGACATATATGCAAGCAAAACATTTACACATGTCAAAAGAAAAAGAGTTCCAAGGGAAACTTCTTCCATTTAGATAAATTGCCAGAAATGGAATGTTCTAGAAGAGCAGAAAAGATACCTGTCCCTTCTCCGTGGTGTCATCTGTACCCGATATCCATGTCTAGCCACACTTGACAATGATCAGAGAGGATGAGTATGCCCTGGACCTCCTACATAAAGATGTAGCTGCAAGATCAAAGAAAGTAAACTTCCACCTGAACTTCTCAGTAGAGCAAGATACAAGAGATGATACTAGTTGGCACTCTACTTTTTTCTAGGCTTTTTCAGTGGGACCATCTTTACTGGCCAGCAAGAGGCAGACTAGGCCAAGAATTCATTTCCTATTTTCTACTTAGTATTTGGAGGAGGCTGGGGTGGGTGGGTATTGATTCCAAGTGATTCTCCTATATCCACCTTCCTTCTCACTGTAGGAGTGCTGGGTTTACTCATGCAAATCATTGCATCTGGGAGAGAGAGAGAGAGAGAAAGAGAGAGAGAGAGAGAGAGAGAGAGAGAGAGAGAGAGAGAGAGAGAGAGAGAGACTGGAATGAGACAGGTGAGGCAACACTGCTTTTTTAAACATGGAGCAGGACTTCTAACCTGTAGTACAGCAACAAAAGATTAAAACTATTGTTTTTCACAGAATGGTATAAGTAAGAAGGATGGGAGAGAAATTCTTCTATTATTTGTTGAAATAAGAAAGGATGAAGTAGTAATTCATTTTGGCCAGAGTCAGTTGACTCCAATAGGGAATTCTGTATCCACCGTAACACAGGCCTGCACAACACATTTCAACATCTTTTCTAAAAAGAAGCCAAGTATAGTGGTGCATGCCTTTAGTGTCAGTACCTATGTGGCAAAAGCAGGTCAATCTTTGTGAGTTCAAAGACAGCCTAGTCTACATAGTGAGTGTCAGGCCAGCCAAGACTACACAGTGAGATACTGTCTCAAAAAGAAGAGAAGGAGAAAGATGAAGAAAAGACAGAGGGTGAGGAAATAAAACTCAGAATCTCAAGACAATACCTACAACATCCAAAACGCAACAGAAAATACTCTATAAAAGGCATGTGAATCTCAACTTTCATGAGAAAAGAAAATCCATGTCAACACTGAGATGACACAGATGCTAGAATTATCTGTCAACAGTTTCAAAGCATACATCATAAAAATGTTAGCAATCAAAGCTATAAAAATGAAAAAAAATTAGCCAGGCATGGTCTTGCACACCATTAATCCCAGCACTCAGGAGGCAGAGGCAGGTGGACCTCTGGGAGTTCAAGGTCAGCCTAGTCTACAGAGTTAGTCGTAGGACTAGAGCTACATAGTGAAACCCTGTCTCAAAGCAAAAAGAGAAAGAAAAGAAAAATCTTAGCAGAGGTAGAATATATTAAAGGAGCCAAATAGAAATTTTACAATTAAAAATATAACAATGTAAAACTTGGGCCAGGCAATGGTGGCACACACCTTTAATCTCAGCACTTACGAGGCAGAGGCAGGTGGATCTCTGCGAGTTTGAGGTCAGCCTGGTCTACAGAGCAATTTCCAGGACAGTTAGGGCTACACAGAGAAACGCTGTCTCAAAAAAACCAGGAAAAAATGCAAAACTCATTAAATTGTAAACAGAAGAATAAATCACTGAACTTGCAACAAATCCATAGAAATGGCCAAATCTGAATCAGAAAGGAAACTAAAAAAGAAACAATTATCATTAAATAAATAAAATCCTGTCTTGTGGAACAACAAATAAAAGAAATAACAATCATATAGTTGGTTGTCCAAAAGAAAAGATGGACTGGGGTAACAGCTTAGTTAACAAAGTACTTCCACACAAGAGGACTTGATTTCAATCCCAGAACACACGTGAAAAAGACAGGTGTAATGGTGATGTCCCTCTAACCCCAGCGCTGAGGAGTCAGAGACTGGAGGTGCTGCAGGGCTTGCTGGCTAGACAGCATAGGCTAATCGATGAGTTCTAGGCATAGTGAAAGACCTCAAGAAATAAGGTGGATGGCATCTGAGAAACAACACCTGAGACTGGCTTACACACACACACACACACACACACACACACACACGCACGCACACGCACACACACACATATCCACATAATTACAAAATAAAATCCTATTTTTAAACCTCTATAAAAACAAATCGAAATTCTGTAAATACAGAACCAAAATAGAATATTTTTCCTTTTGAGGCAGGTCTCACTATTTTGCCCAGGCTGGCCTCAAAGTCGCACTCTTTTGACCTCAGTCTACTGAGTAGCTGAGTATCTTGGTTACTTTTCTATTGCTATGATGAAGAGCATGAGGACACCTGAAGAGGAAAGGGTTTCTATCAGTTTTCACTTCCATATCACATTGAAGGAAGTCAGGGCAGAAATTCGAGGCACAAACCTGGAGGCAGGAGCTAAAGCAGAAGCCATGGAGGAATTCTGCTTATTGGCTTGCTCCTCATGGTTTGTTCAGCCTCCATTCTAGGCTCACCTGCCCAGGGGTGGCAGTCCACAGAGGGATGGACTCTTCCACACCAATCACTAGTCAAGATTCAGCAGACTTGCCTATAAGATTCCTACCTCATGGAAGCATCTTCTTAATTGAGAATCCTTCTTCCCAAATGACTCCAGTTTGTGCCAAGTTGACATAAAATTCGCCAGCATACTGGGATTACAGTGGAATTCCTCTCTCTCTCTCTCTCTCTCTCTCTCTCTCTCTCTCTCTCTCTCTCATTTTGAGACACAGTCTAGCTATGAAGCCAAGGCTAGCCTTGAATACTGAACCTCCTGGGTGATATAATTACCAACATGAATCAACATATCTGATTCCAAAGTGGAATTCTTAAAATGGTTCAAGGGTCTAGTCCCAAGGTAAAATGGTAAATGAGAAACTTGTTACATTTTATAAGTTTTCAAAGGATGTTTCAAATTTTTTTCACTAATTGTCCATATTAACAAAAACATTTGAATAAATTATGAGTAGAATACAATATAAATTTATATTCATTGCAGAGAATAAAGTAGATTGACATCAGTTGACTTTGTGTTCCAAATATTTCTTATCTAGGCTATAGTAAATCCACTGTAATGAATGATCAGGAAAGTGAACGAATGGCACATGCCTGAATATGTGTTTAAAAGCTGAATTTATTTTATGAACATGCATGAAAGGTGGAAAATAAAAAAATGAGCTTAGTGTATTCAGATTTTGTGATTGCTTTGGTGAAACAATCAGCTACTGGGAAAGCCATGAGAACAGATGCAGCCATAATTATGATTTTGATGCCAAATCTATTTTGAATCCTCTATTGATGTGGGAATCCCCTCTGTATGCTGTGAATATGTCATATTACCAGTGGTTAATAAAGAAGCTACTTTGGGCCTATTGCAGCACAGAATAGAGCAAGGAGGGAATTCCAAGCAAAAATAGAGGAGAAAAGAAGGCGGAGTTCGGAAGACACCATGTAGCTGCCGAAGGAGACAGATGTTGGTTGGGACATTACCCATAAACCATGAGCCTCATGGTAATAAATAAAATAATGGAAATGCATTAAGATATAAGAGCTAGCAAGCAATACACTTAAGTGATTGACCAAGCAGTATAGTAATTAATATAGTTTCTGTGTGATTATTTCCAGTCTGGGTGGCTGGGAATCAACAAACAGCCTCTGCTTACAAGCTTGGGTTTAAGGATATTTATTATTCTTATATTCCATAGCAATTTATCATGAAATTGTTTTCCTTCTGTGAAAGGGGAAAATGAGAAGCTTCCTCCATTTGATTCTACAAATGAGAAGAGTCTGGCTAACAAAAGAGATGATACCAAGGATGTAAAGAGAAGAAGAACACATAGAATCTAGAAAGCAGAGTTCAGACAGCTAAAATGCATGGAGAAGGAGAAAGGTGACAAAGAGCAAAGTGAAAACAGCTAACAGCGCCAATCCCAGAACTTCTTTGGGGAGAGGAAACCAAATCTTCAGCACAAGGTAAGTCAGACAACTTTTGTAACAAACAACAGGCTGGAAGTTGCATTTGCAGAATCAAATGGAGGAAGCCATAACAAACACCCATGGTTGTCACAAGTTTAAATATGGTGGAGTGATTTGGTCTGACAGTGACATCTGTTGCATGGCACCACAGTGCTAGAAAAGAAATCCAGTGCATTGCTCTTTTTCATCCTGGAGTACTAAGGCTGGGAATGCCTGAGAAGAATTTCCCAGAGTCTTGACAGACAAGAGGAGGATCACCCTATATATGGGTGGCATAAGTTCATGGGGGCAGGGATTCAAGATGGAAAAAAAAGGACAAGACCTAAGAAGCATTCCTGTTTATCACCATCTGTTTCTAACTGCCAACACAATGCAAGGTACTGATGTTTTTCTCACCATAGCAGACTGTATTTCCTAAACTTGTGCGCTAAAATAAATCCTTCATAAGTTGGATTTTTCTCATTTTTATTTTTTATCACGCTTATTACATTTCTCTAATTTATTCACATAAATTATCTTTACTTTTTAATTGGACTTTTAAAACAATTTTTCATGTTTTTCTCTTCCTCACATTTTCTTTTTTCTCCTTTATTCTTTCATATATCACATCCAGATTACAGTTCCCCCCTCCACTCCACACAGATCCCCCTCCCCTGTGCCCCAGTTCCACTGCTTCTCTATTTTACTTCAGAAAAGAGCAGGACTCTCAGGAACATCAACTTAACATGGCACAAAAAATACAATAATACCAGGTACAAACCCTCCCATCAAGGCTGAGCTAGATGTGAAAATGTTCCCAAGTGCAAGAAAAAGAGTCAAAGGCATCCCCACTCCCAATGTCAGGAGTCCCACTCTATGTAGACAGAGACTACACTTTTATTTCCTGGCTGCCCAGACCTGAATAATTACACAGAAACTATATTAATTACAACACTGTTTGACCAATAGCTCAGACATATTCCTAGCTTGCTCTTACTATTTAAATTGACCCATGATTCTTGTCTATGTTTAGCCACATGGCTTGGTACCTTTTCTCAGTGAGGCATTCTCATCTTGCTTCCTCTGTGTCTGGTTGTTGACTGCCTCTCTGCCTTTCCTCTTCCCAGAATTCTCTTTGTCTTGTTGTCCTGCCTATAGTTTCTGTTCCTGGGCTATTGACCAATTACTTTTTTTATTAAACTATTATGAGTGACAAATCTTTACAGTGTACAAAAAACATTATCCCACAGCATCCTACAAAATCCCCAAGCTAAACAACCACAACATATATGCAGAGAACCTAGTACAGTCCCATGCAGGCTCCACAGTTATCACTTCAGTCTGTGAGCCCCTAGGAGCCCTTCTTAGTTGATTCCATAGGCAGTGTCCTCCCAGCATTGTCCTCCTCGAATCCTCTGGTCCCACAATTCCTTCTCCCCTCTTCCAGTTTCTTCTTTCAAATTACATTTTTGGAAGAGGGTGGGGGTACACAAGCATACCACAGTTGGTCCTCACCTTCCACCATGTGGTTTCTGGGGGTTGAACTCAGGTTGTTAGGCTTGGTAGCAGGTACCTTTACTCACCAAGCCATCTTGCAGGCCTTTTTATCTTTGGTCTTGCCTTTTTTCTCTTCCTCTGCCACCTTATTTCATATTTATTTTTAACTTCATAATTTATTCTAGATTACTACTTTATATTTATCTGAGAGGATAAATATTCAGAATAGATCATTAAAATATTAAACACTAAAGTAACAAATAATGGGCAAATGAATTAAATAGATAGTTCTCAAAAGAAGAACAAATGATCAGTAAACATATAAAAAATGCTCAACAGCTTTTTGAGACAGGGTTGGTCTCACTATACAATTCTCACCCTGGCTTCCTTAGATCTCACTTTGTAGACCAGATTACGCTCAAACTCACAGATTTGCCTTCCCCTGCCTCCCAAGTGCTGGGATTAAAGGTGTGCAACACCATGCCTAGCCCTGTTCAACATTTTTTGATATCAAGGAAATGTATGCCATGATTGGGACAAACAGAATTCTTCATTTGCATGGGCTACCATTACTGGTATGATAAAGGTCTTCATTCACTTCATAAGTGACTGTGACTTATGCAACTATGGAACTGTCCCATGATTGCTACAAACATCTTGATCTACAACAGGGACTATTGTGATGGATATAAATGCAACCCTCCATTTTCATGAAAGACCCTGTCATGACTGGACAAACACAGATCTCATTTTGGATGACTACTACTATTGCTGCAAGTGTGTTCCCTCATTTACATGGAAGGAAAGCAAGGCACTATGCCATGATCTGTGCAAATAAAAGCCTTCATTTGCATCAGGAACTGCTTTGATTAGTGCAAATGCTATGTCTCATTTGCTTGAGGGACTATGTTCTGATTGGTAAAAGCGCATGCCTTCATTTTTATGAGGGGCTGCTATTATTGGGTCGAGCATGGTCCTTCACACGCATGTGGGTCTACTGCACTCAGTACAGAACCTTTGCTACAGCCACACCCATTTCTGACCAGATAAGCAAGCTGTTTTGCTCACTTCATGGCCATCTGGGAGATACCCTCTTATGCTGTGTGGAGCATTAAGGCAAAATTAAAAGACTTCATGGGACTAAAGAGATGGCTCAGAGCACTGGTTAAGAGCACTGGCTGCTCTTCCAGAGGACCTGGGTTCAATTCCTAGCACCCCCATGGCAGCTCACACCTGTCTATAACTTTAGCTCTGACACCCTCACACAGACATACATGTAAGCAAAACACTAATGCACATAAAATAAAATGATTTAAAAAAATCAAGACTTCTGGCGAATCTCCCTTTGACCTTTATTATTAACATACTGGACTGTGTTGGAGACACGAAGGAAGGAAGGCAGCAACAGCAGTGAAGGTGGCAAAAGCCACTGCCCTGCTAGCAGCAGTAAACACAGCAGAAGCAGAAAGCACCTGGCAGATGAAGAGCTGAAGACCATGCCTAGAGTAGAAATAATGGGAAACTAAGCAACAGAGAAGATAAGCGCTATGGAGAGCTGTAAAACTTGAAGCTGTCAATGACTTGAAGACTCTGATATTCTAGGTCTAAGAGCTGTAACACTTGTCGCTGTAAGACCCAGGAGCCTAGCACCTGAAGCCTGTATAAAAGCTATAACCTAAAAGTACCAGCTACTACTGCTGCTGCTGCTTGCTACTGTCTAATACCACTAACTGCTGCTAGAATCAAATGATTACAACAGCTGCCATTTGCTAGGACCACTGGTATCAAAAGACCGTATCAATTTTCTGTTGCTGTGATAAAATGCCATAGCTGAAAGCAACTTAAAGAAGCAAAGGTTTATTTTAGCTAACGGTTCCAGAGGGAGACTCCGCAAATAGGGAATGCATGGCATGACTGCAGGAGCAGAGAGAAGGGAGATCACATATTCTTCCATGCACACAAAGCAGAAAGGGAACAGTAAGTAAGATACGGCTATACGCCTTCAAAGTCTGTGCCCAGTAATACCTCCCCCAGGAAGGCTCCACCTCCTAAAGGTTCCATAACCTCCCCAAACAGTACCATCAACTGTTCAAAATACATGAGTTACTACTAGAGGACAGTTCTTTATATTATTTTAAATCGATACTTTGATCATTTAATACCATCTATTTTGATCATTGGAAGATTCTTCTTACAGTGAACAAGTCCACCTCTTCCACTCCGTGCTAGGATTTTTTCTGACCTGAGATTTCACAGGTCTGTGCAATGCTGTCAAAATTGTTGTGAGTTCATATATGCAACTGCTCTATTGTGTTTGGAAAAGGTTGTTTCCTTGTGGTCATTCACTGTCTCTGGCTCCTCCAATCTTCCCACAGTCTCTTCCACGAAGAACCCTGGTTATTGGAGGGAGAAGAATGTTATAGATGTCACATTTAGAGCTGAGTGCCCTGCAATCTCTTGTTCTCTGCAAGTTGCCAGTTTGTGATCTCTACTGTATTAACTACTGTCTTCTGTAAGAAGAATATTCTTTGATGAAGGTTGATAGGAGTTGCTTTAATACTATGGCCTTTTAACAGACTAATGGTAGCTGGTTCTCCCCTAGAGCCTGTGGCCTATCTAGAAACAAGTTCTTTGCCCTAATAATGGTGCCAAATATAGGTCCCATCTCATGGTCTGCGCCTGAAACCCAATCAGAGAATGATTGGAAACTCCCATATCATTTGTACCACTATTGCACCAGTAGGCATATCTTGCTAGCATAGTCATCATTGTCCATAGAGCTTGCAGCTACAGGAGACTGATGATGACGCTCTGCTCCAGCAGCACACAGAGCACCTTCCAGTACTATGAAGCTGTCTAGAAAGGATGAAGCTTCCAGGTCAGCTTGATTTTTCCATATTTTATCACTCAGGTATGTGATTTCCTTACTAATATTCTTTAAAACTCTAAAGACCTTTTGTATGTGTTTTGCTTGCATATATGGGCTCGGTGCCCAGGGAGGCCATAAGAGGGTGTTCCATAACCTGGAACTGGAGTTACAAATGGTTGTGAGCCACCAAGTTAATACTTTGGACTGAACCTGGGTCCTCTACAAAAACAGCAAGTGATCTTAATCACTGAGCCATCCATCTCTCCAGTTCCAGCAATAGGGTCTTATGATCAAATTATGGAGTGTTTGCATAAAACATGTGGAGCAGCAATAGCCTATAATGTGTGAAAATCTATGGGACCCCTCTAGCCCACAAGAAAAGGGGATGTGTTGGTTGCTAAGAACTAGGAGATAGTTACCATAGATTGCTAGAACCTTGACAAGCCATTGTTAGAACATTGCCTACCCTTTAAGTGGACAGCTGGGCTGTGCTAATCTATCCAGAAGGCTAAAACGCTCAAGGAATCTTTCTAAAACTCAACACAGCTAACATTTTCAGCCCAAAACTCAACTTGTTATCAGATAAATAACTTAGCATCTCAAGGTAAGTCAAATACATAGATATCTTCACTTTATGGGGACTTACAGGCTTACCTTTAAGTGAGTCCACTCCAGGCTATCTAGTGGAGGCGCTGGACATAACAGTATCCGTAATCGTCTGATAGCTCAGGTCTCTCACACACAGCCTGTTGGATTCAATACTCTGAAAGTAGACTGCCTACATTTGAATTGTAGTCATCCCACCTACCCTTATTACCTCTGAAAGGAAGAACTTGTACGGTGCCAATTTGGACAAACAGAGACTAAGACCAAAGCTAAGAAGCTCTGTAACTACTTAAGATATATGAATAGCATCTAGATTGCTTTATTATACAAAAGTAGAGGGGACACTAGTGGGAAAGGTGAGGGGAAGAGATGAAAGGGTCATGGTGGGTGAGAATAATCAAAGTATGTTATTTACATGTTCTAACGTATACTGATGTAATTCACTATTTTGTACAATTAATATACACTAATAAATGTATTAAAAAAAGAAATTGACATGAAGATATTTCCAGCCTTGTCTCAAAGGGACATAGCCATCATAGAATCAAGACAGCTGGGCTCTTTCCTTTCAGGCTCTAGGTCTTATTAGCTTCACGAGCAAAACTAGAGTAAGGTTGGTTTTGATCACAGGCCATATATACGGGTTTTGTTTCTATCTGATGCAAGGCATTCTCCAGTAGATCTTTAGGGAAGCCAATTTTCTAAACAGTGAGCTGTGCTCTAAGGTAAGCGACAAAATGCGAGTCTCTGAAAATAACAATGCTCCAAAACAGGGGGTGAATGACTGGATGACTGTGCACAACAGTGCTAATCACCCATTAGTAGCTGGCATACACACAGCCGGGCAAGGCCCGTAGAGGTACAAAACGACATCTTTCTGTAACCCCACTCGTTCTTCCTGCAATGCTGGGCAGCAACAAAATGAACTATTAGAGAAATGTAAGTCAAACTCATAATGAGATCTCATTTCATGCCTGCTAGAATAGCTACAAACACCAAGGCAGCAATAAGCTTTGTTGCACGTGTGGAGGAAATAGAACTCTCTAGCATTTCCTGGTGTTAGTGTGAAATGTTATGGCCACCTTGCAAAAACAATCCAGCAGTTTCTCTGAATGCTCCAACACAGATGCAGTGTATAACACAGAAATTACTCCTAGGAATATGCCCAAAAGAAATGAACACCTATCCATACATTTACACTCACGTGCGTGCGTTTATTGCAGTGTTACCTAGAAGCTGATAAGTAGCACGAATCCAAATGTCCATCAGCAGATTAGTGAATGACTAAAATGTGACAGACCTGCAATTTTTCAGCCATAAAAAGAAATGAAGCCAGGGGCTGTGGTGCATGCCTTTAATCCAAACATAGGCATAGGCAGGCCGATCTTTGTGAGTTCAAGGCTATCCTGATCTATGTAGCAAGTTCCAGGTCAACCAGAGAAACAAAGTAAGACCTATCTCAAAACTTTAAGTATTCACACATGCTACAACATGGAACCTTGAAGCAGCTACCTAAATTAACTTTTACTTAGGCAATCACTCATTAATCAGCCTGCATGCTAAATTTACTTGAGAAACATATTTAACTCCCTTGGAATCTTTGACAGTGAGGTACCTGGATTGCTGTTTAATATCTATTAGTCTTTTCTAGGTCATGTCTGAGGTCACGTACAGATCCTAGGAACTGGATAAAATCTATGAAAAAATGGGTTACCAACACCTCAACCTTTGAAGCTGAGGCAATAACAGAACCAAGCCCAATAGAGAAGCTGCTTACAACAGGTCTTCCAATGGTTCTTTAAACTAAGCTGGTTTTTCTCCAATGCATCACCACACCTTTTCCCAAGACTGAATAAGACATTCCTAGTAGTAACAAGCCATAGCTAAAGGGATCGGGTCCATTTGCTTCTGTGTGTTGGGTTGCTTTAGTGACAAGTCACTGTATTTTGTAGGAAGTTACATATTACCACGACGTTCTCATTGGAGCTTAGGATAGCCAGTTTCTCCTCCATAGCATTTACAAGTTAGGCTGGGTTGGATGATGCAATGGAATTCTAACAGTCACAGACTTTCTGTTTACCAGCATCTGTATGACAAACTGACCTAATTCACAATTGATGTGATTTGTCATTTATTTTTGTCCTTTAATATTTAAGATCCAAGCTGAATCATGTTCCGACTTTTGACTGCCTGCTGGTCTCGTCAAAAGACCACAGAAGCAAAGCAAAGGTAACTTTACAGCTACTTTTCTACACCCAATTTGGAATTACTTCCCACATATCTGCCTAAAGTTTCACAAGGGACAAATGACCATGACTCATTTGCGAAGTAACTAGACAGAGAATGCAAGATTTGGAACAGAGCTGAGAGAGGATGACCATCCTATAAACAGAAGGTGTCAGGGAGGGAAAGTATCTCTGGAGGATTTGGGAGGGGTTGCCACACCACTCCCGCCACTGTGGTAGGGCTTTTTATGATACATGAGTTGAGTCTATTGCAAGCAATGCTTCAAACACTGAGAAACACTTCAAAACAAATAGAATTCTTCAGTGTAAGCATCAAGAGGTTCGTGGCTTTGACTAATTTTTCTTGTCCTCTTCCAGGAATGTGACTATCATTGTCATTGGCTTGGACAACTCAGGCAAAAGTCATCTTGTGGAGGCCCTTCAGAGATGTGAGAACTAAGAGCATTAGTTTCTGGTGTGGGTCTGCTGGAAATATCCATTCCACTTTAGCCTTACTTCCTGGCCCTCTGTAAAGATAAATAGCTCCATCGCCTCATTAGGTGTCAACAAGCTATTTCCAGAGTGCCTGTCACTTGCTCCCTTTATAAGATGCCCTCATCGGAAGTCCTCATGTGATGTCAATATGAATGAGCTTTAGCTACGCAAAATATTGTCAACAATTTTGAAGCATAGTGTATTTGAAAAGCTGTCTAGTTTCGGGGCTGAATTCCTGTGTAATTTGGTCTAGATAAGAGACAAGTTTAGAGTAATGACGAAATGTAATAACGCAAAACTCCGCGACAGCTGCTGCTGAAAGTTAGAGCTCGAGACATGTTGTCGGTTCAAGTGTAGCAGCACATCTCCAGTCCCTTGACTAGAGCAGGTTCCGGAGGCTCTCACATAGCATTGCAGGAAGCTGGCGTACTTGTGAAGCCCCAGCTACCTGCCACTCAATCAGAGTCTGGCCCATCATCAAGGCTTATTCACTCAATATAGGAGTGCGTTGACATGACTGGGTTTGATATAACCTGGTAACCCTCCACAGAGTATAGGAAATGATTACCCTGACATCTGTGCCCACGGTCTACTTGGCGTTTCTTCAGTTCCCTTCAAAGCCAGTAAACTCTGGCTGACTTGTTTATGTCTGCTCCCTCCTCTAATTATCAGAGAGTTGCACAGACCTAATCATGACACGCCCCTGCTCAGGGTTGTTCCACGTTGCCCCATTGCAGAACACAAGGTCCTGTTTGTGCTTCTGACTCCTCCTCTGGCTTCATTTCCCACGTTCTTCACAAAGAGTCCTCTGAGACAACCAAAGCAAATGCTCTGTTTTCCTCGGCCACACCACTGGGCTTCCCACGGCTCCACTCCTGCATGTATGCTCCTCTGTCACCTTCTTAACCAAGCCCCTCCACTCACGACCTGGCCACAGAAAAGCCCTCCTTTGCCCCCTACACCCACTCCTCGCTCACACCCTCGAGCATGCACTTATCCCAAGGTCCTTGCAGAATTCCCAATCCACCACTAACTCGGGAGCCCCAATGAGAAGAAGAAATGGGTCTTTTCCTCACTGAGTCTCGGCTGTCAGCATCTTCAATAATTACTCCTGGAATGAACAGTCTCCGCCATTCCCCTGAGACTACACACTGCCTTTTCAGAACTTCTTTCTCCCTCAGCCCCAAGAACCTCCAAGTGCATTTTGAGCAACACTTCAGCCTAGCATGCCCGCCCTTATTTGCAGCACATTTGATTCCTTGTATCTCCCAACACTGATAGGCAAACGCGATCAAAAGGAAAGAGTGGCAGGGCAGGAAAGTCAAAGAAGCCGGCAAGACAAGTCACAAGTCTACTGACAAGATTGGGGATAGTTTACTAGAGTTCCAGTCGCCTCCGCCCCGGATTCCTATTCAGTCCAGGTGGGGCCTGGGAACCCACAATGTGAGAACTCTCCAGGTGTTTCCAGCTGTAGGAAGCACTCCTCTGAAATGAACCACAAGCTATTCATCTGAGACAAGTGTCTGTGTTCCATTCTGATTCCTGGAGCACAGTGGATGGAGTTTGTTACTGCATAACTTGTCTTGTGCTCAGTGAATACCTTGGGGCTGGCTCATGAATGCATTGGTTTATGGCAGTGACTTCATTCACAAAAACATTCTAATAGGCACTGATATCATCACATTCTGAAGAATGTCTCAGGGTACCTCCATTCATGCAGGGCCACTTAAAGTCAATCTAGTAGATTTCTCTGTGCCCAAAATTGAATAGCTCACTTCTCCTGTTCCTGTGTTTTTCAAAGGTGAATGCCACAAACAGATAATTGTCTAGGAAAGGAATGCCAGCCTACATACAGTAACCTATATGGACATTTAAAGACACCAGCTACAAACCAGCTTGGCACACTTGCCATCATTACTGAGGACACTATTCACTTGTTTTGCATGGCATGGTCACATGGGATAAGAAACTCAAGGATGAGCACAGACAGGTGCCCTAAATAAGAATGTTGTTGTATTTACTCATTTTACTCTTTGGTTCTTTGGGGGATCCACCATCCAGCTCCTAAACAAATCACACAGAGGCTTCTTCTTCTTACTTATGAATGCCCAGCCTTTGCTTGGCTCATTTCTAACCAGCTTTTCTTAAATTATCCCGTCTACCTTTTGCCTCTGGGCTTTTACCTTTCTCTATTTCTGTACATCTTTTCTTTCCTTCTTACTCTGTATCTGACTGTGTGGCTGACCCCTTATTTTCTCACTCCTCCCTTTATCTCCCCAGATTTCTCCTTCTATTTATACTCTCTACCTGCCAGCCCTGCCTATTCTTTCTCTTCCCAGCTATCAGAGGTTCAACTCTTTATTAGACCACTCCGTTGTTTTAGACATGCAAAGTAACACAGTTTCACAGAGTCACACAAAGGCAACAAAAAAGAATGCTGCACAACTTTGCACCATTAAAACAAATGTTCCACCACATAAACAATAGTAACACATCTTAAAATAATATTCCACAATGTAAGAACATTGAGATCTGTGAATGTATGGCAAATCTGACATACATTCATTCGAATCACCTGAATACTTTTTTAAAAAAATTATTTATTTTATATGTATGAGTGTTTTCCCTGCATGTATGTATGTGCACCATGAACATGCCATGTAGTGCCCACAGAGGCCAGAAGAGGGGATTAGATACCCTGGAACTGAAACTACAGACAGGTTTGAGCTACCAAGTCCATCTAGAAGAACAGCAAGTAATCTTAACTGCTGAACCATTTTTCTAGGCCCAACCTGTGTGCTTTCAAAACAGCATAATGCATGAGCACCACCCCTATGTAATCCAAATCCCAGAGAATGAGGACTAGTACCACAAGTTTTTAACAGCCTGGGAAGGCAAAGTTAGAGAACAGTGAAGTAGTGATCAAAGTCACCTGGGAAGCCTAGCAGCCACTTAACCCAGCATCAGGAAGCTCCCATATTTCAGTTTAGTGAGGGCCCATGCTCCTCATTCTCATCAGGTGATGCTGAGACACGACCACACCCAGGTTCCATCACTCTCAGGAGTAGTGCCTCGCAAGCTTTAAAGTGCAGAAGAATCACATCACAACCATGCTAACCAGAGCCACTTTGTCACAGAAAGTACAAAGGCTTCCATCCCAAGCTTAGAGATCCTGAGATCTGGAGCCATCTGGTACATCTATAAAACTCTGAAGCACACTACTCCCAAACCATACTTCATGAAACACTCAGCCAGGAATAGAGAGATGAATGAGAGTTGGGACTTACCCTTGGGGTATTTATAAATGAAGAGAAAATAAGATAAATGCACATTTACAAGGAACTGCTTCTTGTGGTGTTTAGCACCTAGTGTCAGCAGCAGCAGACTGAATTACTGCAGAAACTAGTTTTGAGTAAAAATGTTGTAAAAGGAGCAGTGGGCCGCTTCCTGCAGCCCACCACTTCCTGCAGCCCGGCTCTCAGCCGCCTGGCTAGCTAGCTTACATCCGAAATAATTACACAGAAACTGTATTCATTTAAACACTGCCTGACCCATTAGTTCTAGCCCCTTATTGGCTAACTCTCACATACTGATTCAACCCTTTTCTAATAATCTGTATCGCCACTTGACTGTGGCTTACCAGCATGGATCTAACCAGCTTCTGTCTCGGAGAGGGGAGCCATGGCGTCTGCCTGACTCTGCTTTCTTTCTCCCATCATTCTGTTTGGTCTACTCCACCTATCTAAGCTGCTGTCCTATCAAAAGGCCAAGGAAGTTTCTTCATTTGACCAATGAAAATAACATATAGACAGAAGGCCTCCTACTCCATAAAAAGAAGAAAAAGAAACAAACAAACCCAGAGGAATGGCTATGTTCTGTTGCAAAAAATAACAAGATTTCTGAGACACAGAAAACAAGATTTTAAAATTATCTTTTGGATTCTTCACCTATTTGCCTCTTCTTTTTACTTTCTTTATTCTTTGAAGTTATAATATAATTACATCATTTCCCCCCCTCCAAATCCTGTCATATACCCTTCTTTGCTCTCTTTAAAATGCATGGCCTTTTTTCATTAATTGTTATTATATACACATGTGTGTATATGTATATATCATACATATATATTCCCAAATACATAAATACACCTGCTCAGGCTGTATAGTGCTACTTGCATGTAGATGTTTTCAAGTAGTGTAATTTCTATAGCAAGTATCATATCAAAATTGTTACTGAAATGTATGTGCATTCTGAAAATCATAATTAAAAAACTATAACATGAAAACAGAAGAAATGTTATAAAACCACATTCAAGTATAGTTGGCATATTATATACACATATATGTCTATTCATAAGTGTATATACACAAGCATTTCCAAAAATCTGAAAGAATTAGTCACTTAGTCTAAGGATTTAGTTTGGCTGTCCTACGGAAAATGTCACAGACATATCTCCTACTACAAATAAGAAATTACTGATTCTAGTCTGAGTACTCCTAGTGTCAAAAATCTATGAAATTATTAACTATTAATGAAAGCAGAAACTTAGACCATAACTCTCAGTTCAACAAACTGCAAAGCATATAAAGACCATCATTATAAAATACATTTCTTTTAGTGGTTGAACGAAGTATCTAGTTCCTTACAGGATATTATGTTCTGGACAAAGCTTTTCCATGGGAAATGTGCCCATATCTGGCAGGGTTTCTTGGAAGAGACACACAAGAGACACTTCATGTCCTCATTCATAATAATTGACAGTGTAAGCACTTACTGAATCCCTACTCTAAGGCAATGGGCAAGCACAAAAATAGGTCAATGACTACTTCAGCGAAGTACTGAAAAGAACTGTTGAGAGGTTGGCAGGCCAGAGAAGGCTCCCTGAAGAATGAGGTGGCTGGGCCTGGAAGAAACTGTAAAAGAGAAAGAACTAGGTCTGGAGAGACGGCTCAGAGGTTAAGAGCACTGGCTGCTGTTCTGCAGGACCTGGGTTCAACTCCCAGCACCCACGTGGTGGGTCACAACTGTCTGTAACGGCAGTTCTAGGAAATTCAACGCGCTCATACAGACATACACCAATGCATGGGAAACACAGAGAAAGAGCTAGCATTCATTCATTAAACATCTATTGAGTTTCTGTGTGCCAGAATCTGTGCTTCATGAATAGAATGGATAAAATTAAGAGTTCACCTTCCTTTGGCTGTTTAGAACTCAGCTAAGTAGACAATAGAATTTATGACTCTAATATGTGTTATAGTAATGCTAAACACAGGGGTAGAAAGCACTTTACAAGGCTGGTGAGAGGGAAATTTCCTACAATAAAAATGACCTAAATGGATACTTTATAAAATGGGGCATGAACCAACCACAGGATGGTAGAGAGAATGGCAGTTTGTGAAGGCCCAGAAAAACAGCGACATGGAGGGTGAAGAGACTTGGATAGGAACCAGGTCCACTGTGGCCAGCATTCAATTTATTCACTGACGTTGTAAAGCCAGGAAGGGTGACACAGAAAAAGTGATTTAGAAAGATGCATTTTGCTGGGCATGGTGGTGCATGACTTTAATCCCAGCCCTCTAGAAGGCAGAGACAGGTGGGTATCTGTGAGTTGGAGGCCAGCCTGGTCTACAGAGTGAGTTCCAGGTTAATCAGGGATACATAGTGAGACTCTGTCTAAAAGAAAACCAACCAACAAAACAATAGCAGCAGCAACAACCAAGAACTAGAACAATGCATCCATGAATCTGAGCGGGGTGGCAGGCAGCTTCAGTATGGTTTCTGGGGGCAGGCTCTGCAGGAGGAAGAACAATCTTATCTAACTACATTTTGCCACACTGTGGTCGCTTCTCCCCTCTTTCTGTTTGTAGTAATTCCTAGCAAGATGCACAGCAATACGAAGCCAACACAGATTAGACTTCTACTAGATGATTATCAAGTATCTGTCTATGACCTCAATGGAGACTTAAAAGGCCGAGAGAAATGGCCGAACTACTATGCTGACGCACACGGGCTTGTTTTCGTCCTGGATTCTAGTGACACAGCACGCATACAGGAAGTGAAGATCATCTTAACACGCCTGATGTTTGATAAAAGGGTATCAGGGAAGCCCATCTTAATGTAAGTTTCTGTCTTTATGGTCTATTTCCCTTTGCCAATTTGTGCCTTAGGAAAGGTACAAAGGTTAAGGGCTGGGTGCTCCTTTGGCCACAGGGAACTAGACCCCTTTAGGCCCAATGAGGCAGAAAGGCCTACTTCACTGGTCACTGTTTTCAAGAGCCACTTTTTACTCCCCACTGTCATGTGAGACACGACAGCAAATGAACCCTGTCCCTTCATCAAAGAGAAATACCATCGAGATCTCCCATCCCCAAGCCTGACTCTTGCTGAAGACTCTTCCTGGATTTGCTCTTTTCTGGTTTGAGTCTCTGGTCCCGAAACTTGATGATGGCAGAGAGCAAACTTTTTTTTTTTTTGTATAATGTAAGTTCTTACGCCTTCCTCCCTCAGTTGGTTGCTCAAGACTTATGTAACTGGCACTCGTTTCAGAGGGAGACCTCCAGTAGCCTTCCATGTCTCATCCCTTCTAATTCCCCTTTTGGCCAGTCTCATTCCTCATTAGCAACCCAACTGGAGTATGAAGAGTTTCAGAGATGCAAAACTCCACACCTGTTCATATTCCAATTAGCGACCATAATTAAAGTTCCAGGCATGATACAGAGGAAGTGGGAAATGAGCTCTGGGGATTATCTTGGACTCAAATAATTTGCATTATTTTTTTTTCCTCCACTGAAAGCTGGCTAGAAGCTGTCTAGCCAGTCTCACTGGGTATGCATTTAGGCCCAATTCCTGGACATGTGGCAGTTCCCCTACCCCTTTTTTTTGTAGTTTGTTTTCTGTTGTTTTTGAGATACAGGCTCGCTGTATAGACCAGGCTGGCCTGAACTCAGAGATTCGTCTGCCTCTGGCTCCCAAGTGCCAGGACTAAAGGTGTGTGCCACCATGCAGGGCTTTTCCCTTCCCTTTGACTTCACCTTGGTTCCACTCTTCTCTTCTTTTCTGCTCTTTCATACGTCCTGCTCTAGCCTGGCAAACAAACAAGACAAGAAGGAAGCCCTCTTGCCTTGCGATATCATCGAATATCTACTTCTGGAAAGGCTAGTGAATGAGACTAAGTCCATGTGCCGTGTGGTGAGTGCCAGCATTTCCTTCTCTTCCTCTAGCCCTGGCTAATATAACCAGGGCCCTGTCTGTCATCAGCCCCAAATGTTGGCTTGGGGGCAAAGTTCCTTTCCCTGACAGGCAACATCTGTTGTGATTCTTTCTAACTTGATAACGACAACACATATTACACTCTGCCTTCAAAGCAGTTCTGTAAGATTTTAATATCCCCATTTTATACGTGAGAAAGCTAAATGACCTGAGGGTCTCAGTGACTTGTTTGAGGTCACACAATGAAGGCACTATAGCCATTGTATTAAAGGGCGTCAGCTTTTATGCTTTTCACCTACTCTCTCAGATGTGAATGCTGAGTGTTTCCTTGGAAGCTGAGAACCTATTTAGGCATAGCACACCTACCTCTGACATTTAGATGACAGTGATCAGGCCTTTAGATCATAAAGGTCCAGGGATCCGGATCTGAGACCTTGCTTTTCATTTTATTCAGGAGCCATGTTCAACTATGAAAAACCTCCCAAAGAGGCACCAACAGCCAATAATTATAGGGCTGCGCTGGCTGTTAGCTGCTATTGGGGATCAATACGATGAGTTGCATACTCGACAACAAACACCCAGTATGAGCATCTCAACCTCCAAGAACATCAGAGGCTGTGGAGAGAGATGCTCATCGGACAGGTACTGAGCTGCTTTCTTTTGGTTTACTGACAATACAAGTGGAAGCCAATCTTCACCATGACCTGTAAGTTCTGAGAGGTACTTGAATTCTGGGCAGCAAGCCCTTCAGAATCTGATGGCCCAAGCTGGGTTATGGCAGTGCCCATCAACATTGTTGGGTACACTACCTGCCCTGGAACAGCCTCAGCAGTCACTTTAGTGGGATGAATGGCATAGAGGTTTAAAAAAAAAAGGGTAAGGCCAACCTATCAATATTAGGGCTTCTCCAAAATAGGACATCTGTTCCCTGAGTTGCCATGTGGAAGACAAGAGGGAATATGTACCCCTTAAGGAGCCTATTGACAATATTCTACAGATGAGTATTACACAGCTGCTCTGAATTCTCAGCCTCCAGTTCGCTGATCTGCCTAACCATGGAGCGACAGAAAGAACCGGGGTGTTGAAAAGATACAAAGCACACACTCAGGCTTTGAGGACTGTAAGGCCGAAATGTCCTCTTGCTCTGTTGTCACTTTCACTGCCCAAAGGCATAGGGAAAGGATAGGACGGCAGGTTCATTGGCTAAAGAGCTTGAAGGCAGGGATAGTTCGGTGTAGAGCATTTGCCACACTCATGGAGGGCCTAAACGCAGGCCCCTGCACCAAAAACAAGAAGATAAGTCTTGAAATATGTCTCTCTCTTCTACTGACTTGTTCTTTCAAACTTAGCATAGCTAACAGAGGGGGAATGCTCAAGGACAACAGACAGCGCGTTCATAAAAGACAACACCTGGAACATAGACAGCATGTTGAACAAAGACACTTTGAGAAAAGGCAGCATTTTGAATCAAGACAACATTTAATACAGCGCTCACTGGATGCTAGGCCCCTAAAGCCAATCCTACAGGTAAATGGCTTTTTGAAATGCTATTGTCCATGGTCTGTAATTGAACTCTTGAGGACTACTTGACGATTTCCCTCTTCTTCTTGGCATACAGAAAGATGGTCTGCGAATAAGGCCCAAAAAGAATATGTCAGTAACATTTGCTTTGGACGTAATCATGGAGGAAGGTGAATGTTCTCGGAAGATTGGAACTCAGAGTATCGCTAAACCTTGCAACAGCCAAAGTTATGAGACACAGACTGCAGCTCCATCTATTGATAACAATCTTTTCAAAGGTAATGTTGAATCGTTGGCTATAAAAGAAAAGTTATATAGGCCATCCTTTATATTTTCTACAATAGCATTCCTATTTTGAGACTGAAACTCACTTTTCACACTATGGTGTGTTACAGATAGAAGTATGGGACAAAGCTTCGAGACCATCTTCTGATAGGCCAGCATGGTACCCCAGCATTAGCTGACACAAGATTTTTGGATGGCTATAGCAATAACTTAAAGGTTATGCTTGCCAATAGTGGAAGCGCAAATTGGTGTAACTTTTATGTAGGGTATATTACTTGTCTCTCTCTTTCCCTCCTTTCCTCAATATTATTAAGAACGTTTAAAATGGGGCTAGAGAGATAGCCCAGTGGTTAAGACCACTTGTTCCTCTTGCAGCTCTGGCCCCTGGCAAACACATGGTGGCTCACAATCATCTGTACCTCCAGTCCCAGGGGATCCCATGTCCTCTTCTGACCTCCACAGGCATAAATGTGATGCACAGATATACATGCAGGCCAAAGATTCATACACATGAAAATAAAATAAATATTTTTTTAAAAAGAACTTAAACTATGGTAACCATTTAAACTACTAGTCTCATTTCTTAGCTGTCTACAAAGATAAGTACAGAAGTACACAAAAAGTGTACTAAATAATATTCCAATTGTATCATCCAGTACAAAAGCTAAATGTTGTAAACGAGGTAAATGCCCAATGACAGGGATAGCTAACTAAATTAGGATGCATCCACACTATGGAGACATGAACACTGCTAACAATGGGTCACCGGGGAGATGACTCTGTTTCCTGCGTCTTCCATGCCAGCAAGAAGAACTGAATTTGAATCTCCTGCACCCATAAGAAAGCTGGGCTTGTTGGTATACACCAGTAACCAGTAGGGAAAGGAACATCTGGAGCTCATTGGCTACCCACCCTAGCCAATCAGTAAGATCTAGGTTCAGAGAACCCTGAAGAGTCGAGCCCTGACACATACACTATACACAAAACATTTAAACGCTAGCAATGACTTCCTTTTCCTAACCTGGAAAATCTTCCAGCACTTGACATATATTGACTGTCAACTGACAATTATCATGTCACCTCAGGCTGTGAACTGTTTGTTATGCATTATTCGGGGACGTTCACTTGGCCAAAGCCACTAAGGAGCAAATGGGCACAGTTCTGGGGATAAGGGGTGAGGATGAAAGCTCTGTAGAAGGAATCTAGTAGCAAAGAGTGTGTGTCTTTCTAGAGGTCAGCAACCACCCTGAAATCTTTATCCAAAACTCATTTTCATTTCTACAACCTTAGCTCGTAGGCCAAAAAAGAGAATAGATACCTGGGATACTGAAGAAATGTTACTGGAAGATCCCCATGGCGAAGCCTTCCGTTCCTGCAGTTAGTATTCCTTAATAAAGTGACAAATGTTGGAGGCTGGGGTGGAGGGTGGGTGTCCCGTAGGGTGCCTTGGAAACTGGCCAGCACCCTCCTACCCCAAGTAGTAGTGGGAAAGAATAGAAACCTTGTACTTGGCTTTACTTGCAAAACCAGCTGTTTTCTTCTCCTGATTAGACTTAACAGACTACTAAAGAGGAAACAGAGGGATAGCAAAAGAATCATTCCTTCTATCACCTTTCAGTAAATGGGCACACCTCCAGAACCAGCAGGAACACTCGTCTTTGACTTTTATTTGATAATGCCTCTACAGCCCACGTACAAGTTCACCTATTCTAAGATCACGTCCTTGAGAACCACTGTTTTTCCACACCAGTGCGGTAGCCAGCGAATTCATCCTATACTCATCGGGAGGCTCAGGAAGTTGTGTCGTCCACCTCACCAAAGAAGAGCAGAGCCATGTACTAAGATATTCCGGACAAAGCTTACAGATAAGATGTTGTGAACAACTGAAATTGAGCCTTAGAAGAACAGGGTTACTTTAGAATCACACATTTGCCTTTAAGGTTCTCAGGTATAAAGGGACTGGCAAAATAAATAAGAATGGTGCTCTAATCAATCGGGTTTTTTTGGTTTTCTGTTTATTTGTTTGTTTTTGTCACATATCCAAAACCAGGTCTGTTTTAAATACCTAGCTACTGTCTGGGAAGCCACATTGTTCTGCCAGCCTCTCAGGAACAGCAACTGCTGCCTCTTAACATGTATGTGGATCCCCACTCCACTCCCAGTGTGGCAAGGTTGGGATGGTACTGGTCCCTTCCTATTATTGTTATCACCTTCATCACGGGCCCCATTTATCAGGGGCTTTCCAGATACCTGGCACAGTGCTAAGTCCTTCCAATCTATTGTCAGATTGGCAACCTTCCCAAATGAGGATACTGTACAAAGCACAGCAAGGCATGGAGTCCAAATCTGCCGACCTAAAGCTACCTTGGGGCTAAAATGATCCACACCTGCCTTTCTCCAACTCCCTCTAGGAAGACAAAGCTATAGACAGGAAATTATGCTGAAGTGCATCCATGCCTATGTGAGGAGAATTCCGTTAACAGCCAGAAATGCACCAGCAGCGCTAGCAGGCATAGCTGATTGAGCACTTCCGCTTTGTCAGCTGCTGGGCTAACTGCTTTACATATATTACTGCCTTTCATCTTCATCTCGCAGAGGCAGAAACTGATATTCGGAGAGCTTGGATAATTTGTCCCTGGGCACCCACTAGGCGGTAGCAAAACCAGTTTTGGTTTTTTGGGGTTTTTGTTGTTTGTTTGTTTGTTTGTTTGTTTGTTTTCTTATTGCTCTACATTTTCCCACTCCCCTTCCCCCCTCTCCTCTCCCCTTCCACCTTCCCTCCTACCCACCACGGTTCCAATTTACTCAGGAGATCTTGACTTTTTTCCCTTCCTAGGTGAATCCATGTATGTCTCTCTTAGAGTCCTCTTGGTTGTCCAGGTTCTCTGGGGTTGTGGCCTAGAGGCTGGTTGTCCTTTGCTTTATGTCTAATATCTACTTATGAGTGAGTACATATTATATTTGTCTTTCTGGGTCTGGGTTTTCTCATTCAGGATGGCTTTTTCTAGTTCTCTCTAGTTGCCTGAAAGTTTCAAGATGTCATTGTTTTTTACTGCCAGGTAGTACTCCATTATGTAATGCTGCTATGAACAGAGTTGAGCAAATGTCCTTGTGATGTGACTGTGCATCCTCACAGAAGAGAAAGTGAGAAGTAGCCTTCAATGCATGGGCACAGAAGACCACTTCCTAAACATAACCCCAGTAGCACAGACACAGAGACAAACAATAAATAAATGGGACCTCCGGAAACTGAAAAGCTTCTGTAAAGCAAAGGACACAGTCAAAAAGACAAATGGAAAAAGATCTTCACCAACCCCCACCATCAGACAGAGGTCTGATCTCCAAACTATACAAAGAACTCAAGAAACTAGACATCAAAACACCAAATAATCTATTAAAAAGTGAGTACAGATCTAAACAGAGAATTCTCAACAGAGGAATCTCGAATGGCCAAAAGACACTTAAGGAAATGCTCAACATCCTTAGTCATCAGAGAAATGCAAATCAAAACAACTCTGATTTAATAAAATAATCTTATACCTGTCAGAATGGCCAAAATAAAAAACTCCAATGACAACTTATTCTGGAGAAGATGTGGAGTAAGTGAAACACCCCTCCATTGCTGGTGGGAATGTAAACTTGTACAGCCACTTTGGAAATCAGTATGGCAGTTTTTCAAAAAAAATGGGAATCAATCTACCTCAACAACTAGCAATACCACTCTTGAGAAAGTTTGTTTGTTTTTCAAGACAGGGTTTCTCTGGCCATCCTGGAACTCGCTCTGTAGACTAGACTGGCTTTGAACTTAGAAATCTGCCTGCCTCTACCTCCCAAGTGCTGGAATTAAAGGTGTGTGCCACCATTGTCTGTCTAGTTAAAACCAGTTTTTAAACTAAAGTCCAAGCTCATAGGGTTTATAAAGATGACTCAGTGGACAAGAGTACTTGGTGACTATGTTCATAGCAGCTTTATTCCTAATAGCCAGAACCTGGAAACAACCTAGATGCCCCTCAACCAAAGAATGGATAAAAAAATGTGGTACATTATATAATGGAGTATTACTTAGCTGTAAAAAAAATTGACTTCATGAAATTGGTAGGCAAATGGATGGAACTAGAAAAAAATATCATCCTAACTGAAGTAACCCAGACCCAGAAAGACAAACACAGTTTGTACCAGCTCATGAGTAGATATTAGATGTAAAACAGGATAACCAGGCTACAATCCACAATCCCAGAGAAGCTAGGTACTAAGGAGGGCCTAAGAGAGACATACAAGGATCCCTCTGGGAAAGGGAAATAGATATGATCTCCTGGATAAACTGGCTGGGGGGGGAGGGAGAGGGGATGAAAGCATGAGAGAACGTGATGGTTGTACTGTGGGAGAGACAGAGAGGGAGAACAATCAAAGAGGGAGCCATTTGGGGGTTAGGGAGAAACCTGGTGCTAGGGAAATTCCCAAGGATCCACAAGGATGACTCCCAGCTAAGACTCCTAGCTATAGAGGAGAAGATGCCTGAATTGACCTCCTGTAACCAGATTGGTGACTACCTTAGCCGTCATCATAGACCCTTATCTAGTAACTGATGGAAGAAGATCCACAGCCAAGCAATGAGCTAAGATCTGGGAGATCTGAGAGGGAGGAAGGATTATATGAGCAAGTGGGGAGGTCAAGATCATGATTGAGAAACTCACAGAGACAGCTAACCCAAGCTTTAGGGACCTCACAGACTCTGGACTGACAGCCGGGGTGCCTGCATAGGACCGAACTAGGCCTTCTGCATGGAGGTGACAATTTTGAGGCTTGGTCTGTTTGTGGGGTCCCTGGCAGTGGGACTAGGCCTATCTATCCCTAATGCATGGGTTGGCTCTTTGGAGCTCATTTCCTATGGTGAGATGCCTTGCTCAGCCTTGATGTGGGGGGAGAGGGGCCAGGTGGGGAGGGTGCACTTGGTCTTGCCTCAAAGTGATGTGTCAGATTTTGTTGACTCGTCCTTACCCTTTCTGAAGAGTGGATGGGGGATTGGGTGGGGGGAGAGGTAGGAGGAGCAGGAGGAGGAGAGGGGCAGGGAACTGTGGTTGGTATGGAAAATAAATAAAACATTTAAAATAAAAAATAAAAGAGTATTTGATGGGCAAGCATGGAGACCTGAGTTTAGATTCCAGCACCCCTTTTTAAAAAAAAGCAGGCCATAACCATGCATGCACCTGTAATCCCCGAACATTAAGGAGCTGACAGACGGACTGCTGAGACTTGACAGTCGCTTGTAGCTTCAGTGAGAGACAGTCTCAAGAGTAATACAGAGCAGGTCTCCAGACACCTTCTGGCATCAGTGTGTATGAACACCCCTGCTACACACACTTGAATGTGTACCACAGATAAATACACCATACTCACACATATACATACATGCCCACACACACAAATAAAATCAAATCCAGTTTCATAATCTACGCCCTTAACTCTACCCTAGACTGCTCTGCTAAGCAGTATAAAACCAATCAACCCATTGTTTGACAGATAGAAACTTGTCTTAAAACCCTGCCCAAAAGAGGTTTCTCTTCCTCCTCTTTTTACCTTCTTCTTTCTCTTCTTTTGTCTCTCTGTGTAGCGTTGGCTGTCCTGGAACTCTCTATGTAGACCATGCTGGCCTCAAACTCAAATATCCACCTGGCTCTGCCTTCTAGAGTGCTGGGATTAAAGGTGCCTGCCACTACGAGCAGCACCAAGGCTGCTTTATTATATCCAAAGGACCCATTTGAAATGCTTTATGGGTCTTTGCTATGCTTGTAAGCTCAGCTTATTAGTTGTGTTACTGGAAAGAACCTTATAGAAGTTCTCGTCAAACTCATATTATACAGATGTCCAACATAATATGGCTGGATACTAGCAGCAATGCTCCCAAAATCTGCATCTTCTGTGTGTCCAAATCTGCATCCTCCCTGGGCCATCTTAATCGTCTCAGTCTATCAACTTTCCTTTGCCTGTTTGAGAATTCTGCCATCTAACAGTCTCAGCCTGGCAAGCAGCAAATGCCTCTATCGAAGACATTTTAGGCCTCAGGCTGCACAGTGGTAAAGTGCCTGCCTAGAATGCACAAGGCAACAGGCTTGATGCTCAGCACAAAAGACAGAAGACTGATTCAGCAAACTACATTTCAGTTTGTTTTTTATGGGTTTTTTTTTTGAGACAGGGCTTCTCTGCATAGACAAGGTCACCCTTGAACTAGCTCTGTAGACCAGGGTGGCCTCGAACTCAAGGGATCCATCTGCATCTGACTCCTGATTACTGGGATTAAAGGTATGTCTCAGTCAATAAAACCATTTTTGTATTTTTGTGGGATTTTTTGAGAGAATCAATAATCTACACACATTTTTCTTCATGACATGTGTCTATTAGACAGGAATATTTTCTTAGCCAACAGAGAAAGGGTATAGGAAGTAGTGTAATGATCTGTTCTGTCTCTTTAAGAGACAAGCCACACCCACTCTCCCTCCCCCCACTCCCACCCCCCACTGAGACAGGCTGATCTTCAGCTTCCAGCCTGACTTCCTTCTCTTTTTCCATCTGCCTCTCCCCACTTGTGTCTCTCCCTTTTCTCCCTCTCTCTCTCTCCTCGCTCTCTTTCTCTCTGCTTCTCTGCTCTTCTCTTTCTCCCCTTCCCCCTCCATAACCCACTGAATAAATATCCAACCTCACTCTGCATGGCATGCCTATCCATGTCTCTGTCTCTTGCTTGCCGCGTGTCTCCTTGCCCTGGACCAGCCACCAATTTGGGGACCTGCAGCCATCCCTACCTGGGACTGACTGCTTTCAGGGCCCGCTGCCACCCCTTGGGGACCTGCAGTGTTTCTGCTGCCTGCCACCGCTGGGGATCCTGCAGCATTTTTAATAATCCATTTCAAGTAGGCCTATGAATATGAGCAAGATAGAGAATTAAGGTTAATCACCTGCTTACAGAACTGAACTTCAACTGAGGATGAAGCATAGTGGGCAGAGTGCTTGCCTAGTACTTCGAACCCTGGGTTCTCTCCCAGTGCCATATAAATGGGTTATGGTAGTATACACCTATAATGCCAACATCCAGGAGGTAGAGGCAGGTGGATCCACCATACAGCAAATCCAAGGTTATCCCAGGATACAAGAGACCCTTTCCAAAAATGAAAACAAATCCGGAATTACAGTACATTGTCACACTCCCCTTTGTGCAGCGGATGTGTGTCTGAGTGACAAGAACTTTTTTCTAAATCAAAGCTAAAGTTGGGTGGTTTTTTACATTTATTTTGTGTGCATATGTGTATACGGACACTGGTCTTGAACTCATGACCCTCTTTCATACTGGAGTTACAGGCCCATACCATTTCATGCAGGTTTTGTTGAGCAATTTTTTTTGCAATAGACTTTTCCTTTATTTGTTTGTTTTTACATTTCTTTCCTTTTATAAATGTATATGGAAGTCACTTGCAGAAGTCAGTTCCCTCCTTTAACTATGTGGGTTCTGGAGATTAAATTCAAGCTGCCAAGCTTAGCAGCAAATGCTTTTACCTGCTGAGCCATCTCACTGTGAAGGGCTCTAGCAGGCCTGAGCACAGCAAACATGGCCATGGTAAACCTTGCCCTTCCCCCTTCCCTCCTACTTGCTAAACCTAGATAAAAGCCCTGAAGCTAACCACCAAGGTCTATTCCCTTATTTGGCAACTTCCTCCTCCAGAAGCTGGACCATCAAGGTCCAGCTATCAAAGTACTAAAGTTCAATAATCAAAAGCCCCCTTTTGGCTACCCTAATTAACATGCCCAATTAAAACAACCCAACTCATCCTAAAGGGGGGGACTCCCTTTTTCCCTTTATAAACTATCATTTGCCTGTGGGTCACATCTGCCTCCTCTCAATCCAGACACAGGCCTTTGTCCCTCCAGGGCAAATATCCCTTTCCCTCCCTCCTCCCTTGTCCTGTCTTTGTCTCTTATTCCCTGCTCTTTGTCCCTCTGCAGCAAATAAATCTCCTTTGTTCTGAGGGCTCGGTCTCAGGTATCCTGTGCTGATTCTGGTCCTTTCCCACTAGCCCTCTAGAAATAATTCATCAGTCACAAAAGTCTTAAAGAGTAGCAATGTGTGTGTGTGTGTGTGTGTGTGTGTGTGTGTAGGTTTATATGTATGTGTGTATGTATGTATGCATGGATGTATTAGAGTGGAGCTTATTTCTGTTTCTACAGGCTGTTAATGCATTTCTCCAACCCCATTATCAAGCTAGATGACTTGGTAACTTCCAGTGGAGTCAGAAATAACAGTAACTGCCCCACCAAAGAGAAATAACAACAACCCTTCTGCCAAGCCACTTTGAAATCCATATAAAATGTTTATCACACTGCCCAGCACACCTTAAGCAGCTCATTAAAGGCTGACTATACTATTTAGGGGACAAGTTTGGCTATATCATTAGCATTCAAGGCTTTGCTTTAGGATGTGTCTCCTTTCTCACAAGGAACAACCTAAAGGCAGGTATCTTTGATCTAAAAGGATAAAGAGCGAGGGAGCTTAAAGAAGCCATGGTAATCAGCATCACTGTAATGGATTGGACAGATCATTACAATCACTGCCTCCCACATTCTCTTCTTTGAGAATCTGAAAGGAGTGGATCAGCGGGGCAGCCCAAGCACAAAGAAAAGAATACTTTTCTGAATCAAGAGTGCAAATTTTATTCAAGGCAAATGGTTGCCTTGGAGTTCCTCCTTATTTATCAACATCCTGGCCTTCCTCCAGGACTTTTAGAGCCGCGACTCCGTGTGTTTGCTACTTTTCTCCCGTGCTGTGACAAAATACCTGAGCAAAAGCAGCTCGAGGAAATGTTTATTTTACTTCCCAGTTTGAGGGGAAATAAAGTCCATTGTGAAGGGAGAGAGAGGCACATTATCTCGAGTGGCCCTAGCTGTGGCAACAGAGCATATGGCAATGGCGACACTGCATTCAGAGTCAGGGAGCAGAAAGAAAGGCTGGCGCTCAGTTCACTCTCACACCCCTCCCCCCTTCCAGTCCAGGACCATCCCACTCCACTGTGGTGCTGCGGCACACACCCAGGGTGTCTTCCTTCTGTGGAAACATCCTCATAGACATCTGGAGGCGTTTCCATGGAGATTCTAAATCTGTCAAGTTGACAATGATGATTAACTGTCACATCCTGTCAGAGATACTTTAAGCACATGCTTAGCCTTGGCAATTCAAACACCACATAGCTCAGGTACTTACCTATTAGTTCTTTCAAGTCAAATCTTCACTTTGGGACTACAGAATATACTGTGGCTAGGTACAGGCATCCCGTTGCTCTGAATGGTTTCCAATTCCTGCACTCTCATCCCCACAAATTATGCATGTGTTCCTTGATCCCCAGCATGAAACTGGGCATGACTGTGTATGCCTATAATCCTAGCACTCTGGAGGTAAGGATCAGGGCAAGTTCGATACCAGCCTGGGCTACATGAGCCCCTGTCTGAAAAAAATGAAAAAGAACAAGGAAAGAACAGTGTTAATTTGTGGCAAAATAACCCATCACTTCTTTTCAAGACAGTTGCTGCTGGAATGGCGTAATAATGAGATGTACCAAATATCACTTTCTCTCAGGAGAATCCTGCATGCCAACTATTGTCCTTGTCCAGAAGATGACAGTGGCCACAGCTAGATAAGGAGGCAAACCCCAGTTTACTGTTTTCTTATCCAATCCTATAAACCCTTTATCTTTATCAGCAGACCAAATATTGGGGTTTCTGCCAGGAAGAGGTTTGAAAAAAGAAAGGTATCACTCAACATTTTGGTACCTGGAACCCAAACTTCAGCCCATTACATTTTCACAAATGCACCTAGGGTTATGGTCACGGCATCCCTGAGCTCCGTCTTATTCCTTCAGCTATAACAACCTGTCCCTTGCTCCTTCAGACACTTCACTCACTTCAAGCTCTGTGGGGGACACCAGTGCCACTGTGATGCCCGGCAAGGGAGGAAGCAGCAGACATTTCTTGCTGTTGTTATGTTAGCATTAGATCTGGGTCAGGGTTTGCGGAAGTTGGGGGATTATACTCCTGCCTCTGCACCCAGGAGGAGTCCAACTCAGGTCCAGGAAGCCTGGGGAGGCTCTGCTGTGGAGTGGTAGGCAGAGCAATGTTAACAAAGCAGACTGAGCTGTGTGCTGGTGAGTCAAGAATGCCATGGGATCCCACGCTCACACCAGTTGCCACTTCCAGGAACTAAAATAAGCCTCTCCTGCTAAGAGACAGCAGGCTTTTGGGTCTGCTCACAAAAGTAAGCCCAGTTCAATGTTAGACAGCCATTAAGCACACCATTATGCGCACTGCGGGGATGGAAATCAGAATGTGAAATGATGTTAAGGGAAAACAAGACAACGGAGAGAGAGTACTGACTGCAACTACGTAAAGCACACACGTAAGAGCGCATCTCTAAAGCGCTTCAGAAAGGAAGGAGCACTACAATTCTGTGAGAGTCAGCAGCTCCCACAACAGGTTTTCCTTACTGTTTTCTTGGAGACAGTTTCACTGTTTAGTCCAGACTGGCCTAGAACTTATCCTTCTGTCTCTAGCTGTGATAAAGTGCATGCTAGGTTTCCATACATTTGGGGGAAAAGGAATGTCCTGGCTAGTTTTATGTCAACTTGACACAAGCTAAAGTCATCTGGGAGGAGGGACCTCAATTTAGAAAATGCCTCCCTAAGATTGGGTTGTAGGTAATCCTGCAGGGCATTTTCTTAAATTAGTGATTGATGTGGAAGGGCCCAGCACACTGAGTGGGGCCACCCCTGGGGTTATGGTACTAGGCTCTATAAGAAAGCAGACTGTGCAAACCATGAGGAACAAGGCAGTAAGCAGCACCCCTCCATGGTCTCTGCATCAGCTCCTGCCTCTAGGTTCCTGCCCTGCTTGAGTTTCTGTCCTGACTTCCTTCAATGATGAACAACAATGTGGAAGTATAAGTCGAATAAACCCTTTCCTCTCCAAGTTGCTTTTGGTAACGGTGTTTTATTGCAGTAATAGAAGCCCTAAGTGAGATATGGGGTCTCATTTTATCCCAGGCTTGCCTCAGATTCTCTATGCTGACAAGGATAACCTTGAACTTTTAACTCTCCTGTCTCTGTTTCCCAAGTGCTGGGATTAATGGCAGGTACCACCATGTAACATAAGGGCTGGCTTGTTGGGGTTTCTGTCCCTCCCAGTACCCCAACAGCTGGCAAGCAACAAAGAAAATCACACACAAGACTCCATAAGGTTATAAACTGATTGGCCCATTAGGTCAGGCTTCTTATTAACTCTTATAACTTATATTAACCCATTATTCTCATCTATGTTAGCCATAATGGCTCCGTACCTTTCTCAGCTGGGCAAGTTACATGCTGCCTCTTCAGTGGTCTGCGCAGGAGTGGAGGGAGCGTCCTGTTTTCCCAGAATACTCCCAGTCTCTTTGCTCCACCCCTACTTCCTGTCTGGCTTTCCCGCCTATATTGCCTGCCTGGCCAATCAGCGTTTTATTAAAATATGATTGACAGAATACAGACAATTCTCCCACATCACCACCACATCTGGCTTACGGCAATGGAACAAAAGGCTTCCTGTATGCTAGACAGGCACTCTCTACCAACAGGGCTACACCCAGCCTAATGTTTGTTTTTAAGAAAATTTTCATCCTCATTGTATGAGGTCCAGATACACCTGCTCTTTAGCTCCTACAGCAGCAAACTCCGAATACAACGTGATTCAGGGTTTAGAGAACTGAATGCCACAGGGGAGAAATCTGTTTTGAACCCTAAGCCAATCAAACAATCCCAACATAAGAATTTACAGACATATGGATCTCTGTGAAGTCCAGCTACGGTGTTTTTAATGCACTCACTTATTCTGAAAGGAAGGAAAGTACACTCCCCTTTTTAGCGTACACTGCCAGCAGGCCCTGATTTGTAAGCCACTGCTAGCTACAAAGCTCTCCATCTTGTTACCTTGTCATGGGCAGCACTCAGAATTGCTCAGCCTTATCCACCACACATCTGGGTATCAAACTGAGTACATTTCTCTCCGGAGACTCTGCTTCCGTACCTGTACAGACTTTGTTTCTCTGGGACTGGCTTTGTTTATTAAATTGGAGTGGTTTTTTTTTTTGGAGGGGTGCGGCGCGCATCCTGACCAGCAGGAATGAACGCCACTAAAAACGAGAATTCCTTCCCTGGTCACGTCTTTATTCGGAGCATTCCCTTGAGGAAAATTGGGGAAGGGAAGATAGAGCAGGGACAAGAGAAAGCTTAGAGAGAGGAAGTAGAGTCCCGAGGCAGCTGCTTTTAAACGGTGGAGAGGCTTGAGCGCTGTCCTGATTGGTTAATGCCATTCTGCTGGTCTGAGCATGTGAAAGCAAGGGTGCAGGCAAGGGTGCTCAGCCCCACGCGGCCAAGCCAGGTATACCTCCAAACTGCAGGACCACTTGTGCCTCCAGGTGGCTCCCTACAGAGGGGGTATAGATTAAGATGGAGTTAGGCTATGTAGTCCAGGTTGGCCCTGAACTTATGATCCTCCTCTTTTAGTCCCTCCAGTGCTGGGGTAGCAGGTGTGTGCCACCACAGCCGGCTGCCTAAGCTCTCATTTCTTCTGTTAACTTCGTACACTGAACTCGATTTTAGATCTACTGGGGTTGTAAATATAGTACAAAGAGTGTATACAGACCTTTCGATCCTGACTGTCCCAATGGTAATCCAGTACACTCATCAAAACTACCAATTATTTGGCTTTCACCAGCCTTTTCCACTAATGCCTCTTTTCCACTCAGTATCTAATCAGGATCGTATACAAGTTTTCTCTCTGGGGGGGGGGGGGTTAAAAAAGGGCAAACTCACAGGTGTTGGGAAAAATTTATAGTGCTGAACTCTTGAGCCCAAAAGGGAATGCCATCGTATCCGTACCAAAGTCCTGAATCCAAGACACCTCGTCAGGGTTAGTGTCAAAACTGCATGTCTTACATGAGCACTTCTTACAATCAGACAAAGGGATCTGACAAGCGGGTTATTTTTAGCAAGTAATATCATGAAGGTGACAAGTCGAGAGGGACGGCCTTCCCTGTCTCTTTTCTCTGCTTCATTTCTCCCCAAACTGTATTGTAAATTTTCACTAGAGACTATAAGATTTAAGTATAACATAAACACTGAGAAACAAACACCCACACCCATGGGGAAGGGACTCTGCAATGTGTGGTTTTGCTTGCTGAAATTAAGTACCAGCTTTCAGTGGTTTAAGTTAATGATTCCTCAGCTTTACGGTGGTGCAAATGATACACATTTGGCAGAAATAGATTTTGGATTTTGAGTTCAGGTCTTTTCCTGGACCAGAGATATGGAGTCCCATGTGCTCTGGTGATGCTGGGCACCTTCCAGTCACCCATGCCATCACACCAGTAAATAGCTGCTACTCTACTGTGTACCATGGCTACTGAGTCAGCGCTGGGAGGTAGGGTGGATTAAATGCAGTTTCAGCTCATGATAGGTGATAGAGATATGACATCTGTGTATGCCACTATTATCCCTATTCTAGAGGAACAGGGACAGGAAACAGAGTGGAAGAGGTCAAGTAAGTTGTCCAAAGTCACAGAGCATGTCAATGGTAGGCAGGAGTCAAGCCCAGGTCAGCCTTAAAAAAGTTGCTCCTTTTAGCCAGCATGTCAAACTACCCCTTAAGTTCCCGCCACTGTTCAGACTGCTGGATGTTAGGGGTGCAATACTCAATTCTTAAAGCCCAGTGGGAGGAGACACCTAAGCAACTGAGTATAATACAGCCCCCTCTTACTCTCAAATATTCCTTGGCTTCATTACAACCAAAGATAATTAGGCTGGGCAGTGGTGGCGCACACCTTTAAATTGCAGCACTCTGAGGCAGAAGCAGGAGGATCACTGAAAGTTCAAGACCAGCCTGTTCTCCACAGCTAGTTTCAAGCTAGCCAGGGTTATATAGCAAAACCCTATCTCGAAAATTCCCAAAACACACTGTTTAAACTAACACCTTGAAATATTACATTTTTTTCAGGTCTTCAGACTAAGAACCTCTGCCCTCTAAATACTTTGAGGCTAGTAGTTATGAATGGACATTTTTTTAAAAAAAATCTGTGTATGAATGTTTTGCCTGCACGTAAGCATGTGTATCACGGGCATACCTGGTGCCCACAGAGGTCAAAAAAAAAAGGGGCCAAATACTCTGGAAGTAGAGTTACAGATGGTTGTGAGCCATCGTGTGATACTCGGAGCTGAACCCGGGTTCTTTGCAAAAGTAACAAGTGCTCTTAACCGCTGAGCCATCTATCTCTCCCACCCACAAATGGGCTTGGGACTATTTACAATATATCCCCCCCCCCACATTGTGAGGCTTGTAGGCAGATGTGGATAAAGTCATCCAGCTGGGTTCCTCTGAGGAAAATGAAAAAAACAATGTGGAAATCTATATGTTAGTGGAATAGAAGCTGCTGAGGGGAAATGTGTGATGTCTCAGAAATAATAGCTATGCTCCACTCTAAGTGTCCTCCTGAATTTGTACTAATTGGCAGATTCTAAGAGAGCTGCCAGTGGTTCACGACTACACTTTGTGGGCCAGCCATTCTGAATTATGTTCCTAAGAAAAATGACTAATGATCCTAGGAGTTATAAATTTTAATTTGATCTTAAGGGTACAGGGTTAGAAGACTTAAATCTCAGCAAATGGCAATCATTCTCTGCTCCCGCCGGAAGACAGTCAACCTCATCAAACACTCTTAATCCCATGGTCCTCAGTGCTGGACATTCTCTGTAACCTTCAGTGTCTGTGTGGTCCCTCCAGAGACTATGACAATTTAATTAGTCAGGGTGGGGTCTAAGCCTTGGAAGTTTGAAAAAAAATCACTGGAGGCATTTAAGGCACAAACAAGATTGGGAACTGTTGCCTCAACCAGAGGATAGTAATTGTGACTGCCCATCAGAATCACTTCAGGGATCTTTTAAAAATTCATATACTGGGTTGGAGAGATGGCTCAATTGTTAAGTATTAGGTTCACAAACAAAATGTCAAAAAATTCAGATATTTGGACCATAGCCTACACCAACTAGGTCAGAATGACCACCTCAAGTTCTATGAGCTATATTGAGATCTGGCCATTAGGTCTTACTCTAAGTGACTCCTTACTGTATTGAACAGGGGCTTTTCGAGCTGCGCACTGCCCTAGGAGACACTATATATTCGAGACAGGGTTTCTTTGTGCATAGCCTTGGCTGTCCTGGAACTCAATCTGTAGACCAGGCTGGCCTTGAACTCACAGAAATTCACCTGTCTCTGCCTCCTGAGTATTGGGAATAAAGGCATGCACCACCACTCTGTGAGTCCTCTGTGAGTTTGAGGCCAGTCTGGTCTACAGAGCAAGTTCCAGGACAGCCAGAGGTATAAAGAGAGACCCTGTCTCCAAAAACCAAAACAAAAGAACAACAAAGTTACCAAGTACACTAGACTAAGGGTGTACTTCCATCACTAGGCCCCCACAAAGTGATGGACACCTAACACTGTGATGGCATGGCCCCATACCCACCTATCATCTGATACCTGGCATGTCCATGGCAAAGACCAATGATTCCCTGACTTGGCTTGGCCCCTTACTGTTGAGGAAGCCTATTCAACTGCCTACCCATCCACATATTTGGCCATCTGGGCCCAACCGTACCCCACCATTTCTGGCTCTCCA